GGGAAGGGGACAGGCTGCCGGGCGCCTGGTGATGCTGCGGGACCGCGGGGGTCCTCGGGGTGGGGGTACGTCAGCGGGGGCAGCAGCGCTGGCTTGGGTGAGCGGTTAGAGCAATCCCGCTCCGTTAGATCCTCCTCTCGCACCGCTCCTCCGCGCTGGAGAAGCGAGAGGAAAAAAAAAAATCCGGGAACAATGTCTCCGTGACTCACCAGCAGCAAAAACAAGCTTAAAAAAAATTCCCCTGGAATAGCAAATACTCTGCTTGTAGGTAGGAGAGAAGGCAGAGGAGTGATTACTTGTAATGTCCGGAGAGAAATGTGGGGCTGGCACGTGCCGCGGTGGTTCGGTGGGTGCCGCCGGGGCGGGGGGGGGATGTTTTGGGTAACCCCCGGCTCAGGTGTGTTTGTCCCGGTACCACCTCTGCCTGCGCGGCGGCCGGCAGAGCGCGGATGGCAGTCAGATGGGGACGCAATCTGTTCACCCAGGCGGAGTTTATGCTTATGCTTTTCAAAAAATGTGCTGCCTTTTTCGGGGGCTGTCATAATCGTTTTACGGTGGAGCACGGAAAGAGAGAAATAATTAAAATTCCGGCGTGCGGCAGGAGGTGAGGGCTGGAAGGAGCTTTCAGCGGGGCGGCCGCGCGGCCGCTCTCCGTGCGGGCAGGGCTCCTGCGCCGAGGCAGAGCATCCTCCGTACTGCAGGCTCAGCCGAAAAAAATAGGAGAAAAGAGGAGAATGAATCAGAGACTGTCAGAGCGAAGGCATGAATTGCGCTCGCTGGGTTGTCTGAGGCTCTCCTTTCAGTATTATTAGAATAAAGCCGTCTTTAATTAAACCTTTAAGTGCTTTATAAGGCAGAAGGCTTTATGTGTCGTCTGCTGCTCTTAATGGTGGTTTGATCGCCGGTACGCAACGAGTTCGGCGTCGTGCTCTGCGAGCAGCGCGCTGGTGAGGGAGACGGTGCGTCGGGGCACCCCCCGGGACACCCCCTCCCCAGCGCAGCGG